GGAACGACTTTCGGAATAGCTTGACTTTTGCGGTGGGGAATGGTAATAATATCAGATTTTGGGATGATTGTTGGTGTGGAGATCTACCGCTAAAGTTGGGTTTTCCTTCCTTGCATCGCATTACTATGATGCCTTCTGCTATGGCGAATGACGTTTTAGCCATCAACAATGGGACTAACAGTTGGAATATCACTTTTCAGAGGGGTTTGCAGGATTGGGAGTTGAATAACTATGCATTGTTTCTAACGAATTTCCGTTGTGTTAATATCATGTTAGGAAATATAAAAATTTATTATGATGAAGATTGCCCAATTAGCCCCTGTTTGACCATCATTATTTGGGTAAAATGAAGTTTTGAATGGTGATTTTTGGGAGAATGTGTGGTTAAAAGTAGGGAAAAGTTTTGAGTCTACGTGTAGAACATTTTACTGCATGAATGTGTTGTTGAAAAATAAGTACAAAAAAAAAAAAATTTGAAATAATGGTTGTCAAACAAGAGCTTAGTAACTAAATCATTTGTGAAAACCAGTAGCTCTATCTATATCATGAGAATGATTTTTGATTTAGCTTCAAAGACCAGTTTTACAAAATTTGAGTGTTTTTTTTTTCTTGAAGAAAATCTAATATTTAAATATATGTTCTCAGAATTAAGGCAATCAATGAGATGAGATTTATGTCTGGCCTTAAAGCACATATTCCAGACTGGAAAGCTATTAAAATCCTTATCACGGCCACATATAGTAAATGCTGTTGCTTACTTGAGACCATATGTCCCAAAAATGTCCACTAGAAATTGATAAATAGTCATCAAATAAATCATAAACTTCTTAAGCATTTGGGACTCGATATGCCACCAAATTTAATCCCATTGGACATTTGCTCTTTCTTGTCCGAAGAGTGTGATGTCAGAAATTATATTTCCTAACATGATATTAACACAACGGAAACTCTCCTCAGAAAGATTTTACCCTTCTATGCTAAATCCAAACCTGGAAATTCATTAACTTTTGCATGAGAATAGACTGATTCTATAGGAAAAGACACAATAACTGGAGCTATTGACTTTTCAGGTCCAGTCCGCTAGACAGACAAGTAATCAATTCAAGAAGTCCCCCAAGAGATAACAAGGCAAAAGGAGCAATTACAAAATAAGCTAACAGTTTTGCTTAGACAGCTTATTAAATACTTGTGAAGCTAAAAACGTATGGAGTCAGCAGCTTCAGTGAATTGTTTAAACATGGTATGAATAGTTAATTTCAACTTTTTTTTTTCGACACAAGTTACAACAAAATACTAGCAGTTGTTGATATTCAAATTTCATAATACATGAATGATAACATCAAGCTGAATCTAAAAAATAAGGAATTAGAAAATAACATTTTAAAATGTTTTACAACCTGCAAACAACTTTTGCTGACAAAATTAATACATCATTTTCACATGATGGGGTTAAACCAACCAAACTAAATTTTTTACCCAAAAATGTACTCATTATAGTATGGTAAACCTTCTTATATACTTTTTGACACAGAAATTAAGATTTCTGATAACATGAATGATTTACTCTAGACACAAGTCCAGCAAAAAAAACAAATGCAACTAAAAAAAGGGGACACAGCATCCAGCAAAGTGATTTTACACAGCTTAAACAAAATGCACATGAAATCAAAGTTCTTGTCAAGAAGAGGCGGCAATGTTTAAATGAGGACACTAGGTATGGAGAAATTCCATATAAAGTAGTGGTTAGATCGGAAACAAACCATGTGAGTGAAATGACTTCTATCCCCACAAGAAGTAATCATTCACAAAGTCAAAACATATAATCAAGTCATTTGAAACTAATAAAGTCCAAGAAAAAGTAAACATAGAATGAACAAATGCATAACCATAGGGCAAAGCAAACAGAAAGGGCATGTTCTGGATAACTAAACCAGAAGACAACAAGCAGCATTTTGCAAGACCAGTTGTAAATGTAGAATGAAATAACAATTACATGTCCCTAGAGCAAAGCAAACTGGAAAACCATATTCCGGACAGCTGATAGAAGGCAACAAGCAGCATTTTGTAAGTCCATTTGTCAATGTAGAATGAAATATCAATTACACGTCCCAAGGGAAAACTGAAAAGGCAAGTTCCACATAACTAATTCAAAAGGCAACAAGAAGCATTTTGCAAGGCCAATAACATTAACAATTACCACTTACCAGGAACCATATAGCTAGTTGCACAGAATTAAAAGGCGGATGAAGTATATGCATTAGAGAGCTACATCTTAACAAACATTTTCATACAGAACCTTTGGATCCAGCATCCTTCCAGATTACATTTATCTCATTTGAGAAAGATCCTATTCTAATTTCAAAATAATATTGCCAAAATGACAACTTCGTCAAATATCATGTCCCTGATAAAGAACAACAGTTTATTCAGTATCACAAACATTAGATTTACGTCACAGCCAATGAATATTGTGAATTGTTTAATAATAATGTTCAGTAATTGTAAATTCAGTTAATACCAAACAGGCGAAGAGAAAGAACTTCCTGTCTAATAATAACCAAATAAGAGTTCCGGCTGGACATGAATTGAGAGCTTACCTTGTGACCTGCATAAAATTGAAACATAAAAAGGTTAAGCCCATCGTTTCAACCCCAATCAAGCAAAGTTCTAATAAATCATATTACCCAACTTTGCACCGAAGTGATGAAGAATAAAATCCAAAAATGTAGCCAGCCATTATTTTTCCCAACATCAAAATAACAGAATATAGCAATTAATATGGACTACTCAAGACTCAGAATATATTAAGTGCTCTTATTAGATAATAAAATATCAGGGCATAATTATAAAGATATGCAGAGTTATCCAGATCATAACAACAATATATGAATCTTATGCAAGAAGAAAGGAAAGCTACAACTTAACAGAATGTGAAGTGGAACAAAGTACACAAGGACTTGTCCATGTTTTGCCATTTGGGGTGGACATGCGTGGCATAAAAATGTAATAACCATTCCTTCTCCAGTGAATGGTTACATGACACTACTATTTGTGAAAAGGGAAAACTCAAAATTATTTACACGTGCTAATAAGATAAATCACACATTACCAATCGCCAATTATCATTACCCTTCATTTTTATTAACTGTGATACCTATACTTCAATGAAAACAAGAAAAATAAAAATAGTATTAAAAAAACTAAGCTTCTTTCAGATTAAACATTAAACATTTTTTTCATTCGAATTAGCAACTCCTAATTATGCAAAACACACACATTCATTGAACTAAAGAAGGAAGAGTAAAAATCATTTAATAAATCTAAGAATTCGTTGATGAGTATGAGAAACTACAACAATTGGAGGCAGATCATTGTAATTTATAATCAGACTTACTAATGCACCCCGCTCCTCCTGATCAACAATTCACAGATTAAAAAAATGGCAAAAAAGTCCAAATCGAAGACTCAAATGTTTCTATTGTGCATATCAATTTTTTGACAAATATTTTTTGATAGGTAATTTTTTTGACAAATTTTAAAGAGCAAAATGAAGAATCATGAAGAGCATAACTATTACACACCAAAAATCACAACTATTTAAACATTCCACGGGGGTGGAGAATATGAACTTGCCCGTGCATAATGTCGCTGAGAGAAACAAGGAGTTTAGTCACAATATGCAAAAGACCCTAAGCCCCTTTGAGTAGTTCAGACTATGACTCTCACTCCGCAAACAGCTGTCTTAAGGAGCCTCAGTCTGAGCTAATGTTACGTGTCCTTATTCAATGAGGGAAAGAAAAGGACCCCACTCATTTAATGCATACTGCAACTTTTTCCCGAGACATTTAATTTTGTTGCCAAGTCATAATGTGTCCGTTACAATATTGATGGCAAACAGTAATGGACATCATAATTTTAGTGCTCTTATAATGATTTTCGCTCTTTTATTTTCAACATCTACAATTTCTTCAAGCTTTTGATGAGTGCCAAAAAAGTTCAAGCAAAGTCCTAGAGAGAGAACATTATGACTACATCCAATTTCATAGCATGAAACACCTCAACTTTAGGAATCAAATCTATGTTTCTGTGAAGTGCCTTGTGTAGTATGAGATTAAGTAAATACTGAGTTTGTGCAAGTTTTACTTCAAAAGTTAAGGTAAGTTCAGATCATCTCAACACCTTGGCTTATATCTCTAACTATTTAACGGCTTCATTTAGTATGGCATAGTTTAGTTTCCAAAAGGCATTGTTTTTGGGCCTCAACAACAAGTACCTGAGGTCTTTGTTCAATAGTAAAAGGAATGAAGCTAAAACAAAAGGTCTCAAGTTTGATTCCCACCAAAAAAAAGTAAGTCACTTTCCCTACTGTAAAAACATGTGAAACAGAGGCAGTGAATAAGAAGTAGCACTGGTTTCGTAAGTGTATCTTGTCATGTACATAACAAAAAGTAACAAATACATTTTATAATGTTTTAACTGCATATAGTATAAAAAGAATGTAAAGGGGTTACTACTGCAGTCATTCAGGCCAATGGTCCAAAACTTCCTTATAGTCACTGGAGAAACTTATCAAGTTACCATATTCTGACATCAAAAATAGGAATTCCAATGGAGATAAACTCCAATGTGCATGAGATCTTAGATTTTTTTGGAAGGTTATGGTGTATAAACAAAACAGTGATTCATGCCCTATTTACTGCTTGATGACATATTTACCAGTGTACCAATGAAATATAGTACATTTGACACATGAATAAATGGAATCCCTATCTTAAGACTCAAACATCATCAGTCAAAGATCAAAGAAATATGAAGTACAGAAATCAGTTAAACAGCCATTCATTATTTTTTGAGATTTTTGGAAAGAAATTGGAGGCAAGATAAAAGTTCCTAATTTTAACTTTAAATGGCATATGGAAAATTTGTATTAAAATCACAGGTTGATAGATCTCATCTGTTTTATGTACATCTTATATGCTATGTTCCCCCTTCGCATTGCGCAATGAAATGGGCATGTCAAAAAAATGCAAAAAAGTGCACATGATCATGCTTTCCCAAATCACGAAATACAAAAAACAAAAAATGACCCCAAGAGTAAGCTTAAACCAATAAAATCTGAAAGAGTTTCAACATACTTTTGCTATAACCGAGCATCACTTATTTTGGACAAAGCAAAACTTCAAATTTAAAGTACACTTACATATCACTAACAGCTACTTAGATACGAAATTCGGAAACAATATGGGCCTAATTGGCAAGATAGTAAATGCATAAACCCAATTAAATATAAAAGCATATGAAGAAATCATGAAAAGATCTTATCATAATAACTAAACCCCTTCAAACTCAATTCTTCATTCAATAAATGGAAAGTCATACCCTTCAATATCTTGAGTGCGGGACCTAAAACGAGGTTCACGATTTCCCATTTGAGGGCTGCCCCTTGGCCGAAGCATCCTCTTTCGCTGCTGGATACCACTATTAAAAGCCTCTATTTCCCTTTCTGTACTCCCTTCATCATCAATACCTCCTTCCTCTGATTCTTTTTCATGATACCTACTGCGTTTATCAGGTCTCTCGGCTTCTATGTCGACATCCCTTTCCTTCTTCCTGTCTCTTGTGCCCCTGTCAATGTTCTTCCAGCTATCATGATCTTTCTGTTTCTTCTGTTCCAGTGTCAAATTTTCCTGCTCCGTTGATCTTCCAGAAATGTCCATCGGTTCTTTCTCATTGTGGGAAGCCTCTTTCTCGCCTCCATTCCATACTTCCCTCTTCACATAATCCTTTGCCCTGTCATTCAGTTTTTCTTTGTCTTTCACAGGATCTTTCTTTTCATTCCCCCACCTCTCAGACTCTCTATCTTCCCTTACTACCTCTTTGCTCTCGCTACTGCTATTTTCCAGTTGCAAGTTGTTCCGACGATCGCCTCTTTCTCTTTCCCTTTCCACCCAGTCCCGGTGTTTCACTTCTTTCCTCTTTCTATCTTTGTCTTTGATCTTATCATCCCCTTTCAAATCAACCTTGTTCTCTCCAACAGCTTCATGAGCTTCAGCAAAGTCCCTGTCCTCAACATTTGAGACTTCCTTCCTAGCTTCAATTGGGCCATGCACATTTGTACGAGAGGAATGCCAGGGGTCCACACTTCCTCCAGGGGCATCAGGATACTGTTTTCCATGGTGTTCTTTAGAATCTTTCCAATTCAAGCGACTATTAGATCCATTCAAACCCTCCTTATCCAGATTAATGTCACCTTTGTGTTCCGGAAAAGCATCCCCCCTTTCATGCTTTGCATCTTTACTGTCATCAACTCGGCTTTCATGTTTCACATTGTTATCACCTTTACCACTCTGGTTCAAATCCCTTGGTTCAGCTATAACATCACGGTTCTCAACCTTGATATCCTTGTCACAGTCTTTGGAATCCCTCCATTCCAGCCTGCTTTCTGAACCAACAACATGATCAGAAAGTGATTCATTTGATGACGATGATACCCTGAACAACATATTTGGAGGCAAAGGCAATCTCCTGTCCACATCACGCGACTCATTTCGTGGCATAATCTTAGGCATTCGAGCATCCTGACCCATATCATACGGAGCATGGTACTCCTGCCTAGCTGATGCTGCCACCTTCCCCCCAACACTAGAGAATGTGCCATGGTCTTCATGTTGGTATTTCAAAGCAGAGGAGTGACTATGACTGCCGCTACCGCCCACATTGCCACTACCATTGCCACCATCCTCGTGTGACCTTCTGTTAGGAGTAGTATTCATATTCTTGCAGATTAAATAATTTAATCTCCTCTTAGGACATAGAGTCAAAAACACCAATTAGTGGATCCTACATTATATAAAAAGGAAAAATGAACACGGGCATAAAAAAAATTTAAAATGTTTCTTGAGATTAAAGAAACTAATTTTATCCGTCCAGAGATATCAAAAGAGAAAAAGGAAATTTTTGTATTCTATCCAAAAAAACGAGGGGAATACACATGTTCTTGAAACAATTCCCAAATAACTTTTAATGCCTTTGAGAAGGCATAAAAACCTTTAATTATGCCTTTGAGAACGTATAAAAACCTTTAATTATGGCTCTCCGAAAATCTTATTGTTGTGAGAAGCTAATCAAACCCACTTCGTATGTTTGATCAAGAGTGGGTGAACCTACCCGTAGTGAAAATAATGTTCCCACGGAAATGAAAGGTTTTGGAGTGATTAATGAAGAAAATATTGTACAATCAAAAGTGACTCTAATTTGATAAAAAGAGCAACACTTCTTTTCACGAAAACTCGGCCATAAACCCAAACTGATCAAGGTAAGAAATTGACTTGCACTAACTCAGTAACTCATTACCCTACCACGATATAAATTCATATACTTGCCACTTTAGTTGTTGGTGATGCTATCACATTTTCGTTGTCTTAACCACAAATTGATCCGGGTCGAAACCCACAAAATACAATTTCATTAAAATAATTAAAATCAAAAAAGAAAACCACTGAATTATGAGCGACAAGAATTTGATTAACAAAAAAAATAAAAAATTATTTTAATAACCCACTGAGGAAAACTGACGTGCAGAAGTAACAAAATAAAGTATAAAGCTTTACATCTCATACCAGTTTTTGACCTAAACATATATACCTACGGGCAGATTAAATTAAAAATACAGGTTCTATAGAAGTATAATTAGGGAAGAACAAAAAATAGCCTTCAGTTAGATGAATGGGCACCAAAGACACGGTTAGAATTGTCACTAAGAACATCAAAAATAGTCTTAGAAAATCGAACAATGATTAAAAACTGACTCGCTTTTTTTGATATTAAATGAGAAATTTACAATTCCGAGATAAGATCCACTCGTACATATGTTACATATATTGATTAAGAAATTAGTATAGGTTTTGCACAGAATATGAGCAATTTTTACCTCTTCGCGCAGTTTCTGGTGTGCTCTGAGAAGCCAAACTGGGGCGCGCAGCGATTTGATAGGCCTGAAGAATTGAGTGAGGCTGTTTCGGTTTGGGAATATTTAAAAGCGTACAACCATATATGTGCATGCCGGTAATGGGAAAAGTAAACTATTTTATTTTGGTGTTTTTAAATTAAAATTATATTTTAAAATATATAAATATATAAGTCAGTGGAAAATAAAGATATTTTAATTCCCATTCTGCCATGGCTCGCTTCTTGAAAATCCACGTCGAGGACAAGAAGGGCCTCCCTCGAACATAGGGACGGGCTCAGGAATGAAGTTCAGTGTAGGCAAAACCAACAAACTTTGAAAAAAATCTAAAAAAAAACTAAAAAAACTAAAAAAATCTGAAAATTTGAAGAAAAATCTGAAAATTGAGCGGGGCGACGGCCCCCATGGGCCCCCATGTAGGTCTGCCCCTGCTCGAACATGATTCTTCTCATTCCAACTCATTGTCTTATCGATATTTAATTTTATATTTAGCCCATATTTGAGCCAAATTAAAATTTTCATTTTCATTTTCATTTTTTCAAAACTCATTTTCAACCACACATTCTTTAATAAAATAATATTTTTCATCACATTAATAACTTTTTTTTCCAACCACACATTCTCCATCAATCTACTATTCCAAAATACATTCTTTCAAAATAATATGGCTCAATCACACCCTTACGGTAGATTGTAATGCAATCAGCTATAACTATACTTGAAGAAGTAATGAGTTAAAAGAAGACTTCTCAAGTCAAGTATTCTATGAGTGTGTTTGGTAGGGATTTTTAGGGAAAAAATTGATTTTTGAATAGTGATATGATGGGAATGTGTGGTTGAAAAAGAAGAAAAAAATATTGATGTAATAGAAAATATTATTTTATTGAAGAATGTGTGGTTGAAAATGAAAATTGATTTACTGTAAAAAATAAAAATCTGTACCAAACAGGCCCTATATATTTTTATTCTAGAATTGTTAAAAAGTTTCAAAATCAACGTAGGAGTGTTAAGTAAACAAAAGAATTCATTGTTATGCATGTTTATTGTTATTAAATTGAATAATGATTATAATGATGATCTAACGTTCACTGTAATTATTTTAAAAGAAAGTTTTAATTTATTCAAAAGAACGAAAAATTAAGTTTACTAACGACTCGTTTGTCATGGCTTTTACTTTTGTTTTTACTTACCGTAAAATAGTTTTCTGAGAAAGTTACCTTAATTTTTGTTTGAAAATTAATTTCTAAAAAACTTCATATTCAGAAAGTATTTTTAGAGGACACTAAAAATTCATCTAACTAAAAGAAACACTTTCATGGAATTATTCTAACTGTTTAAAAGTAATTTCTGGATCCCAAAAGTTCATTTTGACTTTTTCAAAGTCATGTCAAATGAACATTAAGATGGAATTTACTGGCAGGAGTAAAATCCATGTAATCTTTACTACTTCATATATTAAAATTAATTCCTCATTTGAACTTCATCAACAGCGTAGGAGATATTTGAAAGTTTAAGGAAGTTCAAAAATGTATTTTCTGAACTTTTATGAGTACATAATAGGACAAAGGAGCACTTAATAAGAATGCAACATTGATATGTCATTTGTTGTAGTAGTAGACTCAAGTTTAACCCTCATGTTTCATTTCAGTTTATGCTTTGATTTCAATCCACAAACAATGTTTGTTGCATAATTTCAAAAGATCTAACGGCCGCTCAGCATGACTTTTGAAATGTCAAAATGAGCTTTTTGGACCCACAAGCTGTTTTTAGACTCGTTTGATTAATTTTATGAAAGTGCTTGTGGTAGTTAGAAGAGCTTTCAGATGAAACTAGTCTAATGTGGTTTCCTTAAAAAGTACTTCCGGAAGTGTTTATGAAAATTATTTTTCAGATATAAATTAAGTTAACTTCTTCCAAAAGTTCTTGTGCAAAAAGCAAAAGTAAAAGTCATATCAGATTGACTCTAAGCCTTCCCACTTCTAATTTTTCACATTTCCCCTGTTTCGTACCTTTCTGCCTAAACTTTACCTTTTATGTCCAATTTCTATTAACTACTCTGCTCAATATTATCCAAGTCTCTCTTCATTGGCTCTCTGAAACAACCGAAGTAGTCCATTTATGCTCCTTTCTGGGATAAAGTCAAATTGAAAATTTGTGCCTAGATTAGAGGTGTCAATCCGGGTGGTTCAGATCGGGTCGGCCTGCCTCCATATGAGCCCGGTAACGGCCTGTGTGAAAAAAAGTCAACCTGCTACGGGTTCCGGCAGGTTCCGAATCGGCCCACAAATTTTGGACTACAACACAGGTCCGCCCGCTGACCCATCCGGGTCGAGCCCATGCTGGTCAAGGGTCGCACGGGTCACGATTTGTTTCGATTTGACCCGTATTATTGTATAAATAAAATTATAAAAATATAGAATTTTTCATATTTATAACAAAAAATATTTTTTTTGTTAAATGTAAATTAAGAATTAAACAAAATGATAAATTCATATTTATACCAAGAAATATTTACATAGAATTCAAATTTAATATTACATGAATTATTTATAACTTTGAAAAATTAAATTTAACTTAAACAAATAACAATTAAATACATTTCTAATTACTATTATCAAATATTTATAGCATATGTACATCACAACTAGGTTGACACTTAGTTTTTTTATAATTTATAATTTAAGTACATCCCAACTGAGTTGGCACTTACTTAAGTCTTAACTATAATTTAGTTGTTCAAAAATTATATATTTTAATATTTGTATATCCTCATTTCAATTATTTACTTTTATATATTTGTTCAAAAATTATATATTTCAAATTAAATTTTTTTTT